GGAAGGGGAGAAAGGGAGAAGGTGATGGAGTAGGGGGAGGAGGAGAGAAGGTGATGAAAGAGGGAAGAGGAGGAGGAGGAGAAGGAGGAGCGAAGAAGGTGATGGAGATCGAATGAAGGTCATAGAGGAGGAGTAGAGGCAGGAGGAGGAGGAGGAGGAGGAGGAGGAGGAGGAAGGGGAGAAAGGGAGAAGGTGATGGAGTAGGGGGAGGAGGAGGAGGAGGAGGAGGAGGAGGGGGAGGAGAGAAGGTGATGGAGTAGGGGGAGGAGGGGAGAAAGTGATGGAGATCGAATAAAGAAGGTCATAGAGGAGGAGTAGGGGGCAGGAGGAGGAGGAGCGGAGACGGTGATGGAGATCGAATGAAGGTCATGGAGGAGGAGTAGGGGCAGGAGGAGGAGGTGGAGGGGAGGAGGAGCGGAGAAGGTGATTCTCTCCTCTCCCTTTCCTCCTCCTCCCCCTACTCAATCACCTTCTCCTCTTCTCCGCCTCTTCCTCCTCCTCCTCCCCCTTTTCCTCCTCCTCCTCCTCCCCCTACTCCATCACCTTCTCCCTTTCTCCTCTTCCTCCTCTTCCTCCTCCTCCTCCTCCTCCTGCCTCTACTCCTCCTCTATGACCTTCATTCGATCTCCATCACCTTCTTCGCTCCTCCTTCTCCTCCTCCTCTTCCCTCTTTCATCACCTTCTCTCCTCCTCCCCCTACTCCTCCTCCAACGACCCCTTCAGCGGTACTGTGTGGTCAGAGTCGTACACACAGCATGTAACACAAGTCCGTAGTCAACTCGACTGGCCGGTTAACTCGATCCGTGGGCTATGGCAATATAGGGTAGCTCTCCAGGGCTCTCCTATTTTAGCACTGGGCTGGAGTTTAAGAAGGCGCATGTTGGGTAATTCGGCAATTCATTCATGATACTGATAGGGTGTGTTTGTTTGGTCAGATCCACGGATCTTGATCCACTGGATCGAACCCTAACCCAATCATATGCAAACTCATATTTGACATGTTTGAACGGTTCGTGTTTTGCTGTGACCTATCATGGGATGGTTCATACCTAAGAACAAGCTGTGATTGGCTGCGGCGCGGGCCGCCATATTGGATCGCGTTCGAATCCACCTCGCTAGCAGGGTCGGGTTTGGTTGATCGAGATCCGTGGATCCGACCAAACAAACAGTTAGATTAACGAATCCATTGGATCGAAATCTGTGGATCCGACCAAACAAACGCGCCCATAATTGGAGTCAATTACTGTCACGTGTCTTGACCCAGCCCACATCACAACACAAGTGCACTCGATCACTCCGGAGACTTATATATACATTATTTTTATCAAGGCATGTTGATTAGACAATTAAGGAAGATGCCCCAAATTAGCTTTAACTTGGAAGACATGTCGGAAATCCGACATGGGTTGAAAGCCTGATGAGAACCCTGCTCTATGTATGTACTATGTACAGATAATTTCTAATTATAATTACTAATGTCAGTGGCAGCAGATTCAATGCCAATGGTGGTAAGCATATTATGTAATCCAAGTTTCAAAGCCAGCTGTTCAGGCTTCTTTTCAAATGACATTTCGCTATTTGCTATAGTATTTACTATTTAGGTAAAGTGAATGCTGAAAGTAAAGTTCTAGGTATTATTGTTTAGTTGTGTTTATCTTACAGGGTGTTACAATCGAGCCATCTTTCACAAACAATGCACACACCGGGTGCATCAAGACTGTTGCTGTGTCACCAAATCAAGTATATTTAGTGTCAGGAGGCACAGATGAAACCATTAAAATCCACGATCTTGTATCAAGAAAAGATTATGGATCTCTTACACACCACGGAGGTAATCTATCTGTCATGCACATTTCACATACATAGAAATTGTGGTACCGTGTGTTTGATATTAGATGCATGTAAATATATAAGGCAGAAAAAAACTAATCACTTTTATACTGATAGCGAATCCTTATACAAATCTAGTCGTTACTCTGTGAGAATTAAATACCTTGAATTGGTTGTTCATATAACATTTATCAAGGCATTATATGTGACATATCAGTATAGTTATTAGTGATTGATAAGTATAACTCTTGTTTATTATTAGGTACAGTTACAGATGTAAGCTGCCATGGTGCAGTGCATATGTTTAGTGGCAGTGAGGATGGAACTATCTGTGTGTGGGGTAAAAGGTGGATTCTTCTCAAAACTCTCAAGGGACACAAGTACGACATTTTGATGAGTTTTTACACATAATGAAGTATCCAGAAATCATTTATCATAGTCTTATGCAATGTTATGTCCAAAATAATTATATTGGACATATTTCAAAGCATTCATACGGTAAGTTTCCCTTCAAAATCCACACTCTTTGTAGCATTTTGAATTGTAGAGGCTTTGCCTAAATAAGAACCCTTGTGTACCTTTCATAGTTATCTTTAGTCAAATCGATAGACCATCTATGGATAAATATTGAGGTTGGCTATATTTACACCTGGTTTTTGGTAATTTCTTTTCTATCGTCCACCAACATTGTAGTGTAATAGAGTTCTGCAAGTCATATATGTTGCATTCAATGCAGAGGTGCTGTAAACTGTGTGGCTGTCCATCCGTCAGGGAAGTTAGCATTGTCTGTTGGCAAAGACAAGACACTTAGAACCTGGGACCTCATGAAGGGAAAGCAAGCCTTCGTTGTTAACCTGAAGATTGGTTAGTTATATTCTGTGACACAACTACTGCTGAGTGCATGCATGCATGTTGTAAAAATAAACGTGTGTATAATGGTTACCTAGGTATAATTATAATTAGCGAACATTCACATGATATCATATAACGCACAACGAGACATACAATATTCGCAAAGGGGACCTTAAATACAACTATCATTTCCCAAGCTAAATAATTATGCTGTATATATCCAATGTATTTATTATCAAGTGTGTTTATAGAAAATATTGTTTGATTTGTATAGAAAGCACAACTGAATCCCACTAATCATGTTGAAATCTTTTATTTTAGCTTCTGATCAAGTTGTGTGGTCACCAAATGGAACCTATTATTCTGTACTGCAACAAAACCAGATAGAAATTTACAAGGCAGGCAGTGGCGTGGTGTGCTGCACTTACGACTTTGAACACAGAGTTAATGTTGTGGAGTTTATATCGGTATGTCATGTTTTACTTACTGCAGCCTGTAAGTTAACCTGCTCAGAACATAGTCACCAGTTGACTAGTAGTACTATTCTCCCACAGCTCATAGGGAAGGAAGACTGAAGATGATGCCTAATATAAACTGCAATTTCATTTTATTGGAGTATGTAAATTTACCAGCAGGAAAATGTGTATGTATATACATACGTATGAAGTTTCTCTTCATATGCATATTCCTAGGGCTTGTTGCACCCCGTTCATGCAATCTCACTCACAAATGTTTCCTATTCTTTCCTCCTAAACTGAAAAAATGTGGGAGAGCAAATCCATAAAATAGGCTTTGTTTACAGGACAGTGTGATAGCAATCGGAGGAGAAAGTGAAGATCTTCATTTATATGACATCACAAAGCAACAATGTCTGTGCAGATTTACAGCACATTCTAATAGGTAATGACATTCAAGTTGTGAACATATTAATATTATCAGGAGTCTATCAATATTATCTCCTGATATTATGCCAAAATACAGTATTGTATATAAACATACAAGTGCTGCTCATGGTAAATGCTATTCTTATGCTTATAATCTGATTACACAGTCAAGCTAGTATTACATATGTGTCGTTTGTGTCCTCAAGAATTAAGGCATTAAAAAAGGTGGAGTCTTTAGACAGAGATGAAAGTGTCTGGCTTGCTTCTGCATCTAGTGATGGCTATCTAAAAATCTGGGCAATTGACGATCTAAAAAAGGTATGTATGCTAGTGGTTTGTTTGTACTTTATAGATCACAGGAGAGGGTGAAGGGTTCCTAGGTAATGACGCCTCTAAGTAACAGAAACGAGTGTCTTTATATTAGTGCCTGTAGGTATACGTGAACATTTGTGTGTAGCTTGTTGAGACTTGGATGTCTGTGAAGGCTGCATTTTTTCAGATAGACTCGCCTCTCCGCCTTGTGACTGACTGCAACACGACATTTCGTTTGACATGCCTGACTTTTGCATCTTCCGAGGTCAATAAGGCTATAAAGCAACCAGCAGAAGAAGGTGAAATTAATGATCAGGAAACTGAGACCAAGACAAGTGGTAGGTTACAAATCCAGAAAATCGGTCATGTCAAATTAATGTGCCAGTTGACTACTGTGGACTTGGGCTAGGATTTTACTTCTCAATTAAAAACATGGTGCTTGCATTTTTACAGAATTATTACATGTATTACTGAGATTCATACTGGAATGCACAGCAAAATTGCTATGCATATGCTATTGTCTGCAAATGCTACGTTTATAAACGTCAGGGTAAAAGCACCAATTCATATTCATTTCAACATCGACTAGTGCAGTTACGTTTGGTTTCAGACAAGAGTGACAAAGTCACAACCAAGAAAAATCAACGAGGTGTGAAACGCAAGCTGAGAAAGCAGAAGGATGACACATGATTGTGACGAAGCTAGGGAGACCTACCTGGTGCTTATGAATACACTGTAAAAGTAGTAAATATTGGATAATACACGTTTATGTATAAAAGTACTTTATTGTCAAAAAAGTTGATTAACATTGACTCATAAAATATTTACACTTGTTTCACACAAAGTGCATTTCCTCAGTCTACAGATCTATGGAATAATTTTGACAATGATCTTGCTAATCTAATATCAATACTTACATACAATATTGAATAATACTAAGATATTAATATTTACAATTCTAAAAAAGAAAACTATACGAGTCACAGTTAGATATTTTTCTTAAACTGTCAGTAGTGTGGATTTGGTATATTCACACTGTGAACAATGTGCCCACACTCGGTGATCGCAGAGTATACACCTGAACATGACAAAGAAATGCTGTTTTGCTTCCCCGTCTTGTTATCACATTTATGTACACATTTACACGCACACACTATTCTTGACTATCTGAATGCACTTCATCTGGCTGGGCAGCTTGAATGTACACTTGTTGAGTACCTCCAGTAGGCAGTTGAATCTGATAAACCGGCTGTGAATGAGAAAGATGAAGGCTTAGTCCTCGTAACATCACTTGCAGTAACAACCTATTTTAGCAAACTTCGGAGCACAATGAAATATTATAACATTAGTTTATTTAATAACACATTCTTGCTTAGATGACTTCAACTGTAGATCAGCATGTATGATATCTATGTCCTTCTTGCTTTGAAACATGGTTATTTGTCTGCCCAGCATATTTACCATCCTTACAGCAAGGTGAAATAATTTACCTTCACCAATAGATCACATAACACAAAGAGTTTATAATGGGCATAGACAGGAAAAGCATACTTGCCACATTATGAGTGCATGCTGAAACATGACCCACATCACACGTGTCAGTGATATGGGTTGGGACAAACATACCTGGCCGGCAAACTGCTGCTGGTCTTGAACTACAACCTGCTGCGTGGCTGGCTGCATGACGGATTGCTGCTGCGAAGGCATCTGGATGATGAGTGGCTGGTTACCTTGCTGACCAAGCTGGACACGGATCATTTGTAATTGAGCTGGGGTCAGCTGGTACTGCGAAGAGCAATGCAAAAACAATCTACCAATATTACACTAAATGAAACGCGGCTGATTCTACATTTAAAGTCCATGTGTAGTGCTGATCAGCCAGTGGAGCCATCTGTGAGTTTGATTGTACACTAATATCAAGAGCGTATTATTACTATATTAAGAAGGAGAGCGTACAACGGTGAAATGCTGAAACCATGTTGCAGTATTAGTCGAATTAAGAAACTGCCAGTTTTATTTTGACGATTCTTTGCGGTAGTATTGATCAGCTGTCCTACCTTACTAATGTAAAACAAACCGCTTGTCCCTACGATGCTCCTACGCTGAGATAATGAGCAGTGAAAATCTGGTATTTTTGCCGAAAACCGACTCGAGATCCCGGGATGGCTGCGACCCTCTCGTTCTGTGGCCAGTATGTTGCTTCCGGTCGCCGCTGTGTAGAGCCATGGTAGCGCTGACTCATTACGTCAGTACTACAGAGTTTACTACATCCAGCGTGAGGTGGGCACAGGTGGGGGTCATCACTATGGCAATCAATAACAGACGTCATTCATTCCATTTGTCAATCATTGACGGAAACACGCGAGATTTCCCGAAGTTATCCCGAGCGAGAGAGGGTCGCAGCAAACAGGGATCTCGAGTAGATAG